AGTAACATCTCTCTATTTGGGCTCCCTAATCATTGATGTTGTGAGTAATCTTGAAGCTTTGTGCATTTTGCAAAATAACCTGGCAAACAGGCAAAAGAAAATAAAGCAAAGTCATTTTTGTGCCATCTCTAAAAAAAAAAGGAAAACCTACAAAGCCTATGTACAAAGATTCTATCGTTTTTTTTTTTTATTTACAGTAATGTCTTAGAAGAAAATAGGTGCCTGATATAAATTGATGTAAATTTTTTGAGGCCAGGGGCATCAGTTCACAACAGTTAAGATGTGACTTTTTCTCTTGCAAACTCCTTTTAGCAAGAAATATGTCCTTTTGACTTGGATTTGTTGAATTCAGTAATGCATTCTCACAACTTTAAAATACGCAGCTGAAGCAAGTGCATCCTCCTATTACCAGTGAGACCCACTTAGATCTCTAGAAATGTAATGACACCAGCTGCAAACACAGTTTTGCTACCTGTGCGTGTGAAAGACAAAGAAGTGCATATATTTTTATGCATAGCTGCATGCACTTTATTGAAAATCTGGAAATCTAGGGATTCTGCGAAGCACTCAGTAAAATGTATATCAAATGGAAAAAAGCATATTGCTAAATCTCTCTAAATTCTGTAAATTCTCTCTCTCTCTTTTGTTTATTTGATAACCTTGGAAGATTGGTGGCTGAGTATGGACAGATACAAATTTGAATGTGGGGAAAAAAATGATAACTGTGACAAAAACAGTTTAATTCAAGATTATTCTGAGATGCTTAAGCCAATGCATGAATCCAACCTCAGTACATCAATTTGTGATACTTAAAACCAGTTAATGTGTTTTGTTTTATTTGTTATTTGGTTGAGCAGATGGTAATGGTTTTGACACAATTTGGTTTTTTATTTTTCTTCTTTTCTTTTCTTGAAAAAGACAAGGCTCTTTTTCCCACTTTGTCACAGCTGGTTACCAATCAATCTCAATTCACGGTACAGTGATGATAGCACATGTTGTTCAGGGGCCAAATCTGATTGGGTTGCATTTTCAGCAGTGTTTCATATAAAAAAAAAAAAAGTGTCTGTATGGCAGTGACTGTCAGCACACTATTGTACAACTGTCATTAATCAAAACTAGCAACAATGAATGCATTCATATGTGCCAGAGACTGCCAGATTTCACTCAAAATCACCCAATTTCTATTAGAATTTCCTCACCAGCAGTGTTTTCTCATCTGCTTGTTGTTTCTCTGTTTCTTTCCTCCTTCCCAGTCCCCTGCCGCCCCTCCTTCTCGGTTAATTAAAGGCAGATCTGCTCCGACTATTACTTGTAGAACAGAAATTATGTAACTGGTGCCCAAAAGTGACTGGTTTGTATCTAGGCACAGGCTGACTAGCTGTTTAAAAGACGTCTCCCAGCTCAGCCTGATGGCCGAAGCCTAAGCTGAACTGAAAGGTTAAGCACCTCTAAATGTTTAACAAAGAGAAGTACTCAAAATCAATTAGATGGCCATAAACAAGTGAAACTCATGTCTGACACCCTATGTTTTTAGCTGAACGTTGGCATTAGTTGGCTAGGAGTCAGCAGTATTTTGGCAGTGTGTCAGAAGGTGTTTCTTGACACTGCACATGTTTTGAAGGCATTGACTTCTTAGTGCACTGGCAATATTAAGGACCAACTTAACTAGTATGTTCTAGTTTTCCGCCACTCCATCTTCAGTTCAGGAGTCTGGTAACCTCTGCCTGTGATTGGTATTAGCAGTCAGAGAGGCCCTGATCTGATTCCCAAGTGTTCAGTAGCGCAAATCCAGATGAGAGTGAACTTCTCCAGAAACTCAGGTGGAAGCAGCTTGCTGTGGGAGTATGAGGCTCTGGGACTGAGAGGAGAGAAGACACTGTTCAATACTGTGCAAGTGGATGCTTGAAAAATTGAAAATATATTCAGGCTTCACTCCCTTGTTACTTCACAATCCCTTTCTCACACAAGCTCCTTGTGCTGCTGTGGATCAGGCTAAAATCCAGTTTTCTTCCTTTCTCCTTCCTGCCTGCTTCATCTGTCAGAGCTCTTCACCGAACTATGGTGACTTCTGGGGACAACGTGGGTGGAACAGATGACTGAGGGGCAGCGTATCAGTACTTCAGGACAGCAGATGGTTATAATGTCCCATGGGCCCATCTATGTATGAATCTAATTGCTAGATGGCATGTTCTGTCAGGGTGGTCCAAAAACCCAGTATGGCCTTGTTGGAGAAGCAGCCTGGGAGAGCTGGACCTCTCCTTGAAGTAATTGATAACTGGGCCATGATAGTGACATGTTTATGCCACCCTCCATTTCACAACCCAAGTGGGAGATGATGGCTGTACCCTCACTCTGCGTCCTGGCATGCCATGCAGCTGGCGTGTTCCCCCAGCAGCCTTTGCACAATTTGCATGATTGGCAGGTGCAAGCATAAAGGCTGCCGAAGCCTCCAAGGCAGCTGGCTGGCATGCCGGCACCAGCACATCGGTGAGATGGAGAGCGAGTCAGCTGCAGCCCATGGCAGGCTGGAGGGCCCTGTCCCAGGCTGCCTGCATCCCAGTTCAAGCAGCCACTCAGTCAGATACAGTCCTGCTGCCTGTCTGGTTTTATCTCAGCAGCGGTAAGTGAACCACAAGGATGTTATTTGTCCAGGCGGGGAAAAAAAAAACAAAACAAAACAACCACAGTTAAATAAATGGTTAATTGTTGCCCAGCTTTATAACTATGATTCTGAGATCCAACTCATATTTATATTGCTGCTCGTCTTGGTTTTCTCATCTTACAGTAGCTGAATACAACTTTATACTTTTAGTCCCCTAGGGCTGGCCTCATGTCAAGAAAATAAGCATTTTCTCTTGCCTGCAACTCTGTGGTCACGAGAGACAAATAACTGCTCCATCGTTGTGGGATACTGTTGTCATATTCTTGAGATTTTTAAGGGAGGCAATTTGCCTTTCCACTCTTAGGAAAACAGTGATTTCTATTTGCCACTGACTAGTGCAGCACAGCATGCAAAATGACATAATTTGTGAGCAGTCGAGAAGAAATGTGCCTCAACTGCATATGGCAGTTGAATGTAGTTGCAATAGATCTGTACTGCTCCAGAAACTGCATTAGTAATTTCTCTAGCATTGTAACTTCTGCCCCCCGCCACCAATGGTACTACACTAGCAAAAAAAATTGTCCCTAAAAGTTTCTGAAGTTTGCCGTGGCATCTACTTATTCATCCCCTTGGCATAGCTCTTACTCATTAGCTAAACCTGAGGTACTGCATGAACATATAATTAAGCGTAACTCTTAACAAAAGGGGTATTACATGTGTTTATGTTTGTCTCTGACAGAATGGTTAGCCTCAGTTTGGTCTTTTTTAATTTATTTTTTGCTAATGATTAAAATGGACTTACTGAATATCGAATGAAGCTGTGTTGTATTGTGGTGAGTGTGAAAAGATGTCTTGACTTCTCTTTGTTCTTGGAATTGCTAGTAATGCTCTAATTGGTGTTGTGAGCTTTAATTAGACATAACAGAACTTTAAATGTTTCAACGTATGGGATCCTTTGAGCTAAGACGCTTTGAAGTCTGTTAGCACACAGTGCTCTCTCTACAAACCTATACTAAAGGAACCAATAGCAATGTATATTATGTACACATAAATTAATGTTTCAGATTCCCAAAGCATTTAAAAATACTCGTAGAGCCTCACAACATTCCAGTAAATAATTGCATTACATTTTTATTCATCAAAACATTTAAGGGTGCTCTTCCATATCATTTCAATACGTTTGCTGAACAAGTCTACAAGGTCTTTACTGTGTAACAAAGAGAAGGTAAATTAGTTGTTCTGAAGTTATGTCATGAGTGTGTATACAGTGACAAAGAGTGCTGTCATCTCCTGAAGTCTTGAGCTTTCTTTAGCTTCCTGTTCCTATTTCACTATTTAATACATGAGAATCTGAAGCTAACTCTAGATTCAAGGTGACTTTATTAAGGTATCATGGGCTTATTATGTCTAGAAGAAATGTTGTTGAAGTTGTTGAAAATAATTTTACAAGAGAGTATTTCAAGAGTAAAATATCCATGCTGAAAACCAGGGTTTTGCTGATTTCAGAGCCAAAGAAATCTCATACAAGATAAAGTCTCCTGTTGACTTTAATGAGCTTTGGATCAGAGCCTGAAATAGTTTGTTAAGCATGACTTCTGCAGGATAATAACAATTTAACTGAAGATATTTTTCTAGGTGTAAGCACTCTAAATGCCTTGAGAATGAATGTTCACTGCAGGCTGAAGTACTTTGTATTATTTCAAGTTTTATACATCCTCGTAATTTTAGAATTATTACAACAGTAGAAACAAGGAAATGGACAAAACATAATTGAATTGTTTCTAATTTCTTTTAAGAAAGAGAAAACGTTATTGTCCACCCTTAATGAATCATTTTGTAGTATTTCTGTGAAACTGATAAATCTCCTTTAATGTGCCTCTTCAATAAATGTCACCTTCCAGAGCTTAAGTATATTTTTTATTGTTTGTAATCGTGTGGTGTCAGATCCTACCAACATGCTCACAGTTTCCCTAAGGGGTTGCTGCTGTGGAGAAAAACTATATATAAAGGGAAATTTCCAAATCAGCAAAAGGTAAAATGTGTAGCTCGCATAGTTAAAGGCATGATAAACCTGAGCTGTCGTGTATTGATAACTGATGTCCGATAGCTTAATTTTATCTTATTGCTCTAGATCAAGGACAAAGTGAATGATATTATTAATAAAGCCCTAATACTGAGTGAACATAGCAATACTAATTTTATGTAAAGTTTCTAACTAATGCGGAGTGCAATAAAAACGTCGTGAAGATTAATGCTTGGTAGAATTATCTAATGCTAGATAATAATTGATCTTCCAAAGTTGGCTCCAGGATAGATTGAGGTTGGCACATTCCAGGTGAGAGTTTTCATTCATTTCTGTTGTCTACAGAAAGAGTTTTCATTGTTTTCTGTAACGCAGGTATGACATCAAAGATGACTACACTTTGCGCATTAAGAAGGCCATGAGCACAGATGAAGGAACCTACACATGCATCGCTGAGAATCGAGTCGGAAAAGTGGAAGCCTCTGCTACCCTCACTGTGCGAGGTGAGCGTTCCCATGGAGGAAAGGCCTGTGTCCTAGATGGATAAATTGCTTTCTGACAAAACGGGCCACATCCTTACCTGGCATTGTTTGGGTTTCACATACCCTTTGCAATTGTGGGTGCTGGCACTGATTTACAACAGAGGTGAAATCCTGGTCCTCTTGATGTCTCAGGCAGAATTTGAATTTATTTCAATAGGATGGGATCTCCCTGTAGTTAAAGAGCTCTTCCAATGTTTTTTTTATTGAAGAACAGATGCATATATGTGCATAAGAAAGCACTACATAACCATGGGCATAGACTTTAATATGTGAGCCATCAGTTTAGGCTCTTCTTCACGTTCCTTTCTCTAATAAGTATAAGGAGTGACATAAGTAACTATGTTTATTAATGCCAAACATAATGCAGATAGTATTATGGTGCGATTAGCTCTACCATAATTAAACTCTTTACCATTACGCTTTATCTGAAAGATAAACCCCAGCCAAGGGAAAAAGAAAATCCTAATTAAATTTTGTAAGTATTACAAGGTAAAGACTAACATATTCTCTCCTAAATTATTCTTGGTCTCTAGTATCCACTCAGTGTTTATGTGCTGCTGTCTGATGTGGTAAGGAGGTTTTAAGACTGGTAGAATAATGAGTTGCCAAAATGTCTTTTGTGACAGTAGATATAGACATGCTAAATATTATGGGGAGAGAAAAAGTTTTCAGGCTAATATTTCCATATGAGTAAATAGAATATAATAGTTATTAATTCATTCCAAAAGATAAGCAGCAATTTGGCACAATGGATATCATGCAGACACTATTTCACAGTTTAGTGGTGCATGCTGACGGTTTTCAGTAGAGCTGTGAAAGGTTAATAAAAACATTTTTAGCTTTATCTGTTCCTCTCTTTTCATACACATTAAATCAAATGTTCAAAGTCTCAGTGGATTGCTTTATTAGAACTGGGGTCAACTGACCCAAGAGGCCAGCTTCCATTTCCATCCATTTAATGCATGGACACAGTTCAGTTTAATTTGCTGAATTCAAAGGGAAAAAAAAGCACCGAGTGGCTTTGTGGGGGGGAGATGTTAGTATATAACAAAGAAAAGAGAGTATTGTGATAATCCATCTGCTGAAATATTACCTCAGTGTTCACTTTAAACAATAAGTGATAATGCAGCTCTTCCCATTTTAAGCTGAAGAAATAGGTCTACCTGCTACATGCTTGTGTAAGAGATTGTTCTTCCATTTTGTAATGTAAAAAAAATAGTCACTACAGTGAACTCCCAGAAACACTCTCACTCTGTTCCTTTGTCACAGGCGGAATCATGGTATCCAATAAATCTGGCAACCAACTCGATAGCCCTTAAACACTCGTAGAACTGTGTATACTTTAGTGGAGCAAGCCTTTTAGATTTGCTTCCCAGACTTGTGATATAAAAAATAGCTAGAACCAAGCAAAAAATCCTTTGAAATCACTGAAGCTTGAACCTGATGAAATTAAGGTGAAAAAAACCCGAGGAAATATATGATATAATTGATTTTCCTACAGTTAAAGCAAGTTTTCATTATCTTGAGTATTTTTCCCCTCGGGTTTGTCATTTATAGTCAAATTCATAGTGTTTATCCAACACAAAGGAAGCCACAATATTATAAGCATATTAAATGTTCAGGATATGACAGAAAATGAGAAACGCCAAGAAATTCAATAGAGAAGGTTATTACTCTGAATTTTCTGAAAACGAAGGACTGGGCAGATGCCCGTTGACTTTAAAGGGACCATGAACAACGGTCCTTTTAATTAAAGGAAGCCTTAATTCTGAATTCTAAAACTTTTGCCACTTTTGTCTGGAACTGCTTTTTACCATAACCACTCATCATGTAGAGAAGCAAAAACACATAGCTCTTCAAAATTTACTTTGAGGGTGCCTTGTTCTGTGCAGGTGTCATGTAGTTACAGCTGGAAACCTGGCAACAACATTATCCTTGGCTCCCTCATTCATGGCTTCATCTTCTCAAAGCAGGGGATGAGGATGCAGTAAGGGAGTTTGCGTTACACTGTCACAAACACTAACAGAATTTGAATTCTGTGGCTCAGCCTTCATGCCCTCTCTTGGAAAGTTGCACACCACTCTTATTCCTTATCTCTCTGCAGAAGAAGGAATATGTCCGTAATACAAGAAGACAGAAAGTCTTCAAAGAGATGATGGGTGAGAAAGGGCAGCAGGCTTGAAATAATTAAATGAAGTGGGTATGCCAAAGTAAGGATAAACCCACAGAAAGGCTGAGAACTGAGAAGGTCCTTGCATGCTGTGTTACCTCTGGATCTGCATATTTTACATTTGACCCTAGCCTGCACGTAAGCATACGGAGCTGGTTAACTTCTTAAAAAAAAAAAAAAATAAAAAAAAATTGTGCTGTTGCTCAAAAACGTGTAACTACTTCTACTGCTAAAATCAGGGAAGGTTGGCCTATGCAGATGCAACCTGGAGTCAATTTTATGTCCAACTTTTCAGCTCTTCTGAAAGGGGATGTCTGCATTTTATTAACAGAGGGACTGACAGCCCTCTTCCCTAGCCCAAGTGTAATGAAGGGCTGTTGCTATAATCAAGAAATCACTTGTTGCAGCAGCACCTTTCAATCTTGATATCAACCTGAAACAGTATTAACCTGTCAATCATTCAGCACCAATTTTTTTAGGAAGTAGAAGTTATCTAAGCAGTAATTTGGGAGGTTCTGTGTTGAAATCCCTGCGGCCATTTCAGCCTCTTTGTTATATTTTCATCAGCACTGTCAGTGAGGAAAAAGCAGTGTGCTGTAAGCTTTCATGCCTGTTATTGAATGAGAAAAACCGTCCTGGGCTTTCTGTAGGCCTTACTACTGTACTGACTGGCCATGCTTAAAATTCAATTGGTATTTGACTCAGAAAGCAAACGCCTTGCATCTACTGGCATGACATTTGGCAGTCTGCGGCTTAAATTGATGTGTTCATCGGGATCTAAAAGTTTGTGCTAATGCAATGCAATTTTTCTTTTATCAGGCCTTAACAATGATACTTGATGATGGCATGCGAAGATAATAAAAATGTTTCTCAGAGAATGGTTCCAGTCAGCTTGTTCAGATGCTATGCTCAAGTAAATGTGATAATAGTGGCACGTGACTAAACAGTAACAACAGTAAACATTTTACTTACGCTGTCATTTGAGGGGTTTGCAATCATGGTAGTATCCATAGTGGAAGGTAACATTACACGTCATGCATTCTGACAGATATTCTTTTCTTTTTTTAATTTCTTTTTTATGTTCTCACTCCACCATTGTAATGTCAACAGCTCGCCCCGTTGGTAAGTAACCATCCTTCTATCCATTTTAGCATGGCTTCATGCAATGCTTCATTTGCATCTTTCATTTGCAACAGCATTTAACTGGCTGGAATTAGCAGCCAGTGCTTAATAGTTTTAACTGTCTAACACCAGCCAAGTGATTTTGACTGATAAAGTGCTATTTCTGAACTTTGTATTTTCTGCTGTCTCATGTATAAACGCATTTGCCAAATCACCAACAAATACCAATCAGCAAAACGGGGTGGGTGTGGTGATATTGAGCCAAAATCACTCATTCAGATGTCTTTAACAGTCTATTTAAGGGCCTGGTATAAGAGCCATTGAAATCAACAGAAAGGATTGTATTGACTTCGGTGAGCTTCTATCAGGCCCTGAACGATCAGCTCATGATGCTTTTATTTCATAGCAGTAAAAGCACAGGCTTTGCATGTCCCGTCTTTCTTGTATCTTTTAAAGAATTTTGAAATTAAGCAGTCCTGAAAGTGAAGAGGGGATGGAGTAGATTTCCGTGCTTGTTAAGAAAGTTCATCATTGATTTTTGCCCTTGGGTCATCTTGGAGTACATTTTGGAATGCACTGTATAGGATGCAGACTATTTCGAGTAACGAGTCCAGAGGAAGACAACCTCTGGATTTTGAACTCCCACACTGAAAATTTGATTCCTTCCTATACCTTTGAAATTACTTCTGAAAATTTATAAAAATTTAACTGAGCATAATGGGAAAAATTGCAACTGTCAGTAGCTGAAATTCACTTTTGGTGTTCAGAAATATCCTGAACATATTATTTAATTTTCATTCACGGATGTTTACTCTGTGCCTATATGGATATTCTAAATAATTTAACCAGTTGCACTGCTCCTCTGATTTTTGTAGTTTGTGTTTAGCTGTATCTTTTAGAATAATAATATCATTACTCTGATTTTTTGGATTAGTGTGAAAAATATGTACTGGTGTATATGGAGATTGTTGAGGGGTTTGGTCTGTCTTTATATAGTCAAAACTTATGTTAGTTATGTATTTGACTAAAGTTTGTGAGTTTGAACTTGTCTCAGCTCTTCACTGTTAGGAGTTGGAGGAAGAGAGGTTGGAATAATTTAAAGATAAAATCCAGGTTAGGCCTCTGTTTCCAGGACTAAGGTGATCCCATGCTTATTAGCTTGCTTGAACTAGCGTAGGTAGAGCCAAGCCAAGTACCTCCGCAGTCACGGCATAGTTTACCCGTAGATATTCACTGGAGAATTCCCAGTGCAGAATGGAAATTCACTGTTCTCCATCTGGGATTTTGATAGAAAGCTTTAAATCCCAGTCACTGCTGTATTACTTTGGCATTATGCTAGTTCCCAAGAAATTAATTCCCAGGCGTTCTAACAGTGTAAAACTGGAGTAAACTTGTAAGAAAATTTTCCTTTGCTTAGAAAATATAGTACAAATTTAGTATTCTTCGAATGTAAATCTCTCATGGGGGATATGGCTAATAATGAAATCTCCTTCTTCATTCACGAAGAAAATGCTACAAGATTAAAAGTATTTTACTTCTAGATATTTTTCTCACTTTGCTTGCTCTTGAAAGAAAGGCAAGAAAAAATAAGCACAAAGTAGAGACTGTTTCAGTCTCTGTGAAAGCCACAAAATAAATGACTGGAGATTCACAAGAAAATCATAGGTTTCAGCAGTGTTGGTAGTGTCTCATTTCAGAACCCTGATTCTTTTTTAAGACTCTTCAGGCTGTTGAGTCATCCATGTTTCCATCTCCAAAGCTTATACAGAAGCTTTTAGTCTCAAGTTACTTTATGTCCAGGTATATGGTCCCCTTGTGTGACCATGCTGTGGTCAATTTGGCATATTTCCTGCCTCCACTATTTTACTTTGTTATGGGTGAACATCTGGTACAAAGAAAATTCTTCTTTTACGTGATTTATTCAGGAAACGTAAATTAGAATGGTTGACTTTAAAATAATGATTATATGGTCATATGGTCTTTATCTAATTATTTAATTTAGTGATTATCCTTGTCAATTTTGAAAAGATTGTTAACTAAATAAGTCCAACCCCAAAGATATTTAACATACAGAACTCCCATACAAGTGTGTATGTAGGGATTGCTGTAGATAAGTAGATCGCTTTCTTTAGATCACTTTGATCTGATCCTGTACCTGCAGAAAAGGCGATGGTGTCCTTATGATAGTGTATCCCTGTATTGTTTTTTGCTTAAGGACCTGAAATGAAACTGATTTCTACAGTTCATATCTCTGTTTCAGTCAAGAGCAGGCAAAGCAGGTGGCTACCTATCCTGTTTTTTGAAAATTTAAATCCCAGTAAAGCAAAACAAAGCAACTTCCCTCTCCACCACCAGTTCCCCACCAAGAAGCCCAAATGATCTTCTGTTAAAATTGTCATTTGACAAGAACGGTGAGTCAAATCTTGCAGCATTTTTTTGTTCAGGAAGTTAACTGGAACGCAGAGCAAAAATACCTCTCCTTACAGAAAGGACGCTAAAGCAAACACTACTTAATATTTTTAAGCTCACAGCTCTCTAGGAGGATGACATTTTAACAGAAGTATATTTATATATTTATGTGTATGTTAAACTGCAGGGGAGCAGTTTAAAAGTTCATATTCCTTCGTGACACCTGAGGATTATCTATGTACCTCTACCTTTCATCACTACCTCCAATTCAAAGCAGACGTGTTTTGTCTTTACTGTGTTTTAAACAAGCCCAAAACATTTTCTTTCAATGCGTTGTCACTGAAGAATAGAGGATTTTTTTTTAACGTTCCGGGATTGCAATTCTTGTTGCAAACTGAATCATTTTCACTTTCTATTCAGTTTTTGCCTGTTTCAGATATTTATATTCTGTTAGTTGTGATATTTTTATTGAAGTTTCAGCTTGAGTGGAAAATTCAGGAGTGGGATTACCAACGACTATGTTAGGTTCAAGCAGTTATTAACATATGGTATATACTACATAGGCAAAATGAGGTACGATTCTGCCTGAGGTGGATGGCAGCTGGTGAATTTAACAGCTCTATGCCAGATTACTCATCATGTTTGGATTTGCTGCTAGGAATAAATGTGTTGCCCATTTCTAAAATAGATGTTCTCCTATTTATAACCTTTTGAAAAGATTTCTGACAGGATTTACAACAGATGGGTTTAGGAAACAAGATATTTATCCCTATTTAGACCATTTCTGTTGTTATTGCACTCATTAGATGGATTTTCCAGATGAGCAAGTTAGTATTTTCTCTTTCGCATTCTGCTGTATTTCTTATGGCAGTTGGGCAGGAGAATAGCTGTTAAAAGTACAAAAGTTGGGAGGAGCCCAGAAGTTTCATATAGTCCCACTGAAAGTAACACTGACCCTCTTTTCAAAAGCATTTGCTATACTGCTTTGAGACAGAGGACCTGAAGTTCAAATAGAAGATCTATGAAGATCTGTCTGATGTTTCAGTTGCCTTTTTACTAATCATCCAAAAAGTCATTCAGGTGACAGAGTACTCAGTTTTCAAATTAATTTCAACTACGTCCAAGTAAAAATACAGTTCTTTGCATTTCAGTTGCCATGCAGTAAGTCAAGTTTACTTAATTTATTGTCATATGCTATGACTCATCTTCCCAGAAAGAAGCGACATGCAGCAGAATAGCTAGATACTTTTTGCCACCTGGATAGAAATTAAGTATTTGGAATTAACCAAGGAAGCAAGGGGAGACCAACCAAGTTACAAAAACTTCACTTCCCTACCATGTGGGAGAAGAGAGAAACAGATAAGACACGTGCCATGAATTTTCCAAACTTCAGCTTAATTAAATACAGTCTATTCACATTTGAGTGCAATGTGACTGTATGATGCATTTCACTCTGCTCTGGGAAGTTTTCATGTCATAAATCAGCCTGGCATGACTTAATGGTCTGTTAAGAGTGGTGCAGCATGAAACACAAAATAGAAAGGGCTGTATTTTAAACAAAGTTGTATTAGGTGTTGTGGCTTGAATTTATATTATTCAGATTGGTAAGTGAGAAAGATCTCTCTTTATCCTTCTCCATTCTGACTCTTACAGGGAAAGTCTATATAGGATGAATGCTTTTATTTTTAGTGTATTCATGAAAATGCCACCTTCACTTGAGACACTGAGGATTTATACAGTATCAGTAATGGCAATTGGTATATGACAGAAGAGATGAGATCATGCTCGGTACTATGGTGCCATCTTTCAGTGGCAGAAATCTCCAATTTATATCAAAGTGTGGTCTGTTGCCTGTCTGCCTATTGCTACAATCTATAGAAAGTTTCAGAAGAGAGTAAGGATGCCGGTGGGCATTAGGCTTTTGGGATTTGTTTCTTCCTTAGGTGAAAGAATAATGCATCATTCTTGTTTAAAAATAGGCAAATTCTTCAGATTAAAGAGAAAAGGTTGCCATAGAATGAAATTCAAATTTATTTGTATACCAGTAAGAAATTAAAATATGGAGCTGATTTGTTCGGACGTTTCTTTTAAAGACCAGTCTAAAGATCCTAAAGTCCTTAACACTTCTACTTTGGCAAAACTCCACTAGCTGAGCTTACACTTGAATCCTATAATGACTTCAGATATCATAGATATACAACGTTTGCAATATATGGGCCAGAATGGCTCTGCAAGCGGACAGTGAGCACATTAACCACCAAGCATTTAAGTGCTCGTCCACAAAACTCGGCTTCATTTCCAGTTGCTCCAAGTCTTCTTGGGTATGCCAGATAGTGATCAGAACAGAAACAAAGAAGATCTGATAGAGGACTCTCCTTCAATGATAAGCGTGAAAGATGGCAGTGTATGTACTTGAAGTTTTAACAAGCCATGCTGTGACATCCTGGCTCATTCCCCTATGGTACCAAGTGTGTGCCAGTACTCATACTGTTTCTCTTAGAGAAAAACCCGTTACAGCAAGTGCAGGAAGTGATCAAGGGCCTCCTTTTTGTTTATTTTGTTTTGTTTTTTTAATTGATGAATTCTAGCTT